CGTAGTCTGTCAGTGAAGTCTGATTTCGTCGTCTTCAGTAGCCAGTGTGTTCATGTGTTAAGGTATGTTTGTTGTGTGCCAGCTGCTGTGCTGTTTAGTTCCTCAAGAGATCTTAATTCCTCCGTTTGGGAGAACCAGGTTCTCAGTGATGGAGTGATTGGCTGCTTCCAGTGTTGCGGTATCACCGTTTTGGCTATGTTCAGTATGCGTATTGTCAGGGATATCTTGCAGAGGGTCTGTGGGGTCTTGGTGTGGTGAAGTAACATTCCTGCTGGTTTGAGGGGTGGTGGGTCGTCCGAAAAGAGCTTCAACATTGTGTGAATCCCCTTCCAGAACGGGTGGATCTTTCTGCATTCCCACCAGATGTGTAGGGGTGTGCCATTCTCCTCCTCGCATCTCCAGCACAGTGGGGTGTGGTCTGGTGACATCGCATGTAGTGTTGCGGGGGTGCGGTACCAGAGAGTCAATAATTTGTACGCTGTTTCTTGTGTCTTACTGTAGCTGGAGCAGTGGTGTGTGAGAGAGTAATTTTTTTTCCCATTCTGCCTTGTCGAGCGTGTGGCCTACGGCCATTTCCCACTTTCCCATGAAGCTTGGTTCAGGGGTCGGTGTTAATGTCAGAAGTAGGCTATATATAAAGGAGACCCCATGGGCTTTTGGGTCTGGGTCTAGACACTCTTCTTCGAATGTGGTGGGGGTTCTTAATACAGCTTTTCGGGCATAATCTCGGAGCTGAAGGTAGCGAAAGTAATCGAACGGTTTTAATGGGGTCCAGCTCTTTAGTGTCTCAAATGTGACAAAGGAGTCACTTTCAAATAACTGAAATAGTCTCTGCAGCCCCGCGGCTTCGAGACCCCGAAAGTTCCTAGCTTGCATGCCCGGGCTAAAATCTCTGTTTCTCAAGAACGGGGCCATTGGAGATAAGGCAGATGTCAGGCCATATTTGATGGCAGCTGTGTCCCAGACTCTGATAGTGGTCTGTACCGCTTGGCAATGTGCTCTGTCCAGTGATCTGAGTTCCTTAGGAATCCATATCAGGAACTGGGGGAGGTCCGGGCCCATTAAAGAGGACTCCAAGTCCACCCATCTCCTCTCTTCAGGGGGTGTATGCCATAGCGCTATTTGGGCTAACTGGGCAGCCACATAGTAATAGTACAGATTTGGCAGTCCCAGTCCCCCCCTATTCTTAGCCCTATACAGCACCTTTTGCGAGACCCTGTGTTTCTTGTTCTGCCAAATAAACTTACCTATTGCCTGCTGTAGTGCTCCCAAGCTAGACTTAGTCAGGTATATCGGGAGTGCTTGGAATAGGAATAATATCCAGGGCATTATATTCATTTTTACTGAATGTATTCTCCCGATCCACGAGATTGGTTTGTCTACCCACTTCTCCATATCCCGTATTAATGTCCTGATAAGAGGTGTGTAATTCTGTTGGTGTAAAAGAGAGGGGTCCGCCGTTAAGCAGATTCCCAAATATTTAATATAATCTTTCGCTATACGTATCTGATATGTCCTCCCTATGTGCGCCGCGCCCGCATTACTCATCCCAATAGGGAGTGCAGTCGATTTATGTAGGTTTACTCTATATCCGGCCACTATGCCATAATCCATCAATATCCTTGTCAGAGAAACCATAGACTCTACCGGAGCTGTCAGTGAATCCCGTTATAACGTATTTCTGCCCCCCTACTGTGATTCCCTTGATCTCCGGGGTCGTCCTTATCTTTTGCATGAGGGGTTCTAAGGATAACACGAACAGTAGCGGTGACAGAGGGCAGCCCTGCCTTGTGCCGTTGCTCAGTGGGAAAGGGATGGATTGCGCTCCTGTTATCCTCACCTGCGCCCTGACGTTGGTGTACAGAGCTTGAATGGTTGTGATAAACCGGGCCGACATGCCAAAGTGGCGCAGCGTCTCAAATAGATATGGCCATTTGACTCTATCGAACGCTTTTTCGGCGTCTAAGGACAGCATCAGTGTCGAGATTTGTAGCCTAGCTTGTCTTCCTATGAGATCAATGTTGCGTCTCGTATTTTCGAACAGTTGCCTACCCGGCACGAAGCCTACCTGGTCCGGGTGGACCAGGCGGGTGAGAATTGGGTTTAATCTAATCGCCAGTACTTTGGCTAGGATTTTAGCATCATGGTTAATCAATGAGATTGGTCGAAAATTCTCTGGTATTGAGTCATCCTTACCCGGCTTAGGTAGAAAGACTATGTTCGCAAGCGACATTTCTTGATCTGGGGTCCCCCCTTCCTGCAGGTCGTTGAACCATGCTTCAAGGTGGGGTAATAGCTCCTCCCTAAAAATCTTATAGTAGCTTCCATTCTTGATACATCTTTTAATGTAATCACTCTAGGATCACAGAGTCACCAACAGCTTTATAAAAAACACCACTGACTTAAACTGAACCGAATCACCAACCTCTCTGATAATACCATCCTAGTAACCATGGCCTTGGAATCTCTGTATAGTAAAGTTCCACATAAAGATGGCGTTAACACCTGTTTTCATTTACCTCTTGCACCAACAATAGAAAATACAACCCCCAAATGATCACAGAACTGGCACTATTCGTCCTCACACAGTTATTTCAGTTTCAACACCCTTTAATTTACCTTTTTCATATAAAGTTCAAATGATGACTGCTCCGGACAATTGTTAAATTGTTGATGAATAGATTGTCTCATAGTGATCCGGCAGGTTAACAAATTGTTAAAGTGGAACAGCACTGTAATACAATGGAAATGACGGGAGGTTTTAGATAACTTAAAATACCAGAGTATACCAGCAGTATGTAATGATACTTCTTTTATTGGACTAATATAATATTTAAAAGACAAACTTTCAAGAGTTTTCTTATCTTACATACCTCTATGACTATTTCACCGTTCTTTATTAGACTATGTACTCTGCTATATCGATAACGCATACCTGTTTTTTATTGTATACTCCTTCATTGTACTTTTTTCTATAATATCGAATATGTATTTTTGTAACTCCTACAGATGCAAACACCGACACACATACAGATACACAGACACACACATACAGACAGATACATGTATAGACACAGAGGCAGATACACAGACACTGAATGACAAACATTCAGATACACATAATTATACTTATACAGATACAGTGACACACATACAGATACATAGGGGCACACACACTGACATACATACATACATACAGACACTGATACGCATCCGCCCCTACTTAACGCTAGATGCGACTAAGGTGTTGGTCCATTCCACTGTCCTTTCTCGCCTTGACTACTGTAATCTGCTTCTCGGTGGTCTTACCTGCTCCCAACTTGCGCTGTTACAGTCCATAATGAATGCGGCGGCGAGGCTCATCTTCCTGTCCGCCCGCACCTCCCATGCCTCACCCTTCTGTCAGGCTCTACATTGGCTTCCTATAAAATATAGAGCTCAATTTAAAATTCTGGTTCTTGCTTTCAAATCTCTACATAATGCTGCTCCCACCTATCTATCCTCCCTTATACACAAGTACGTCCCGTCTAGGCCCTTACGATCTGCCGAAGACTTACGTCTATCTTCTGTCCGTACTCCCACCTCTGATGCTCGCCTTCAAGATTTCTCGAGGGCTGCACCGTTCCTGTGGAACTCCTCGCTTCCCTCCTCCGTTCGATGCTCACCCAGTCTCCACTCCTTCAAAAAATCGTTAAAAACCCACTTCTTCATAAAAGCGTATCAATTAAACTGTTAATAGCTCCTGATTGATTCCTCTTCTGAAACTGTCACTAGTCTAATACTATCCTTACCTTTTTGTGTCATTTTACCCCACTCCCTCTAGCATGTAAGCTCATTGTAAAGCGCTGCGGAATTTGACGGCGCTCTATAAATATCATAATAATAATAATAATATACAAACACACACACATGCAAAATGTTTAGTGTTTCCTAAATTTTAGTTGCAGGAGGGTGACTTCCCTGGGGTCCAGTGGCTCAGGCCTCACTCTGTGTTTTTTTACACAAAATATCTATGACCCTTTGTAAGTTTATTTAAAAGCCATGTCTTTCTCTTTATGGCTGTATGTAATAATGTTAATAATTTGGAATATAAAACAACGACTTCTCAATTCCTTGGAATGTTTACATGTCTCTGTATCTTGGCTGGAAATTCCAGACTCCAAAAATAGTTATGCTGTTATAATTCCTGATTTTTAATCAACAGCTAGCGTAACTGACAATATGGAAAATATCACTATTTTATAAAACATTTCTTATATAGTGGACATTAGAATCCAGAACGCAGTAATGCAATAATTAAAAATCCTGTCTGTCTGTTGCATGAATGTTTTCATTAAGCCATAATGCAATTTTCTTTGCATTCTTGGAATTAGACTTCAAATTTCATCGCTCTGTCTTATCACTTTTCTTTTGACAACATTTTGCATTAATCTTTTTCCTGCGCATGCATACTAAGCAGCTACAAAGAGAACATATCCCCCTGTCTGCAATCCACTGTCCTGGAACTAATGGGCCATGCTGTGCTGATGTATTAGGCATATCAGGGAGTTTACCAAATATGTATATTTGTTCTATTATGATATTAGTTAAGATCCACAATTTCAGCATTGTATGCTAATTACGTTGTACCTGGCACCTGAACTTGAAGTGCTTTATTCACATGGATTTTGTATGTTGTGAATGCTCATTTGTACCATAGGAATAAATAGATACCACTGTGTGGGGCAAGCAACTAGTAACTTGGTTAATAATCATTTAACCTCAGCATTTTCCCAGACCACAACCCCACTTCTTTGGGGGTGGTTGGGGCACTGAAATCCCAAAGTAACCCAAATGTGGTTGCCCAGTTTTAGGTTTCCTTTGCAGTAACTGCAGGACCACCATCCAAATGGATGGTCCTGGGATTATCAAATGCATACTAAGGAAGTGAGACTAGAAAACGTGGCATCAGAGATTGCACTTCGCACAGGATATATCCAAGTAAACCTGGTACATGCATCAACACATACAAAAACATATTCATAACCAAGTGATGTTGACAAACTTCCAATATATAGTAATCCAAAAAGTACGTTAGATATTAATATTTCAATAAACAGTACATCAGTAATGTAGCAATAAGCAAATGCTTATGATTACTAAACACATGAATTACAGTATTTCCCATATTGGACCACCAGTATTCCTTTTCAGGAGTCAGAAGTACATTACCTCTCTCTATAAGAGCTTGTCCTAGCCATGAAAAAGCTTTTAGGGCAAGTCCATCTTTCCTCTATAGGAAGAACAACCAACATATTACCTTCAATGGTTATTATGTAATTAACCCCTGTAAACGATAGGAGTATTTATGCGGATACCAGGTGGATAAGGTCTGGATATCCTTGCAAGCATAACCTCTGTATCATGACTGAGAGATAGGGTATGCGATGTGATCCAGTGACCACAGAAAAGCATAGGTAGACACATTGCATCAAAGTGCCTGTTAATGACCAACTACATGAGGAGAGGGTCCATGCTTTGTTATAAGCATGTCCATACACGTATTACAATGCCAGGCTTTCAATTTGTTTCCACAAAGCAAAATGCAGTTGTGGATATAAACTCACGACGTATCGTAAGAAAAACTGTTTAAACACCAGACTGAGACTTAAGATCAGTGAACAGTGGACCAAAATAGATAAATTAAATCCTATCAGTTAATATAGTTTCAATATAGATCACAAAGATCACACTACTGATATTTTACTGTTACAACAATGATCAAAGATGCTGGGAGCACAAAAACCTAAAGACTGTTGGAGAACTTTGGTTTACTAATTTAAGGAAGAAATGCGCTACAATGCCCACAGTTTAATGGAGAGGGTGTTACGGGCAAATGCAAATATTACAAGTTTTAGAATGAAATGTTGTATTTCTTAAACTGTGTACTTTGTCTTTAGGAGATATTGCAAACTGACAAGGTGTTAGAAATGGAAAATATTGTTTTTCATAACTGTTTCTTTAAGCAATAACCTCAGTGCATAATATGTTTGCGCCATTTTGTCCCAGACGAATTACAATAACAATAATGTATAAACAAGCTTCAAGGCTATACTACGACACTTGCAGTACACAATATACTGTGGTAACCCCAAGTTAATGGAACTTCCCCAAATCCGGGAATCTCCCACGACTGTACACTTACGACTTAGTATAAACAACAGATAACCTATTCAGACTTTAAGATGCCATCTTGAACTAAGTCAGGAAAATTTCCATGACGTATACACCCTTTAGTTATGGCCTTGTATGTTTGCCAAATTAAGGGAGGTCCTAAATTGAATAAAGTAAAAGAAGTGTTACTTTTTCGTATTTGAACTACAGTAACCTAAAATGGAGACACCTAAGGTATAAATAGGTGTACTTTTAAATGTTAACACACAGAGGAGAGACTTGGAGACAGACGCTGCTCCATCTTAAAATGACAGAGAGGCTGACATGATGACCTGCTCAGAAGGGTATGTTAACCTATTAATGATATTTGCAAGCATGTAATTTAATCTTATAAACTCTGCTATAATGGATTTTATATTTTTATATAATAAATATCCAAAAGACAATCTTGCTTCCAAGACAATCCTTATTTTATATTGTATTCTCAATTATTTATATATGGTAAATAGAGGATCTCTTACTAACTATATAAAATTATGGCTAAGATATCCATATGTATAGTTAGCCCTACTAAGTTCTATGCTTTAAGACATTATAGTGGTAAATAAGGGAACCACCCACGGTTACAATGGTGTCTATTTTCTATCAGTTCTGTGTATTATCTGCACTCATGTCGCTTTAACCCCAGTATCACAACTCAACTTTAAATTCTATGTGTTGTTTTTGCTCAGCAACGCTTTAGATTTGAGAAGGGAGTCAATCCAAAATTCTGTTAGTCCAATCAAAAAGGTTTAACAAGATACTAATTTAATTTGTTATTTTACAGTGGTTTAGATAAGTAGATAAGTACCTAATTAGGTGTCCTAAAGTGGGATTGCCATATTTAAGGGTACCACATTAGGGAGCCATCTACCAAACATTTGAAAGATTAAAATGAACAAACCTTTTCCTTAATTATAGGTCTTTCAGCTCTTTAGTAGATAGCTCCCTAATTTGGTACCCTGATGTGGGAATGCCATATTTAAAGGGTTACGCAAACCTTTTTTGACACTGAATTGTTTTTGCTTTAAAATGCATTATCATCATTATGACATTATTATCAAGTCATCTCTGCAGTCACACCGTCCAATCAAAGGCATCTCATAGAGAAGCTTGTGACTGGACCATTTCACAGGCTCAGTGGAAAGAAAGGGAGAGCAAGCTTCCCCTTGCAGATGCAATGCCGGCAAGAGAGAAAATCGTTAGATCAGTCGGCAGATGTAAAATATGCAATTTACAGTTTAAGGCTGCCACGTGTCACGTGTGCCGGGGATGTAACTTGCTACAGGCACATTGAGTGCAAATATCTCTGCATGTACATAATTTCAAGCAGAAACTGCGCATTCACACTCCTACCACTGTGACCAATTCAAATGGTGTTTGGCATAACCCTTTAAGGATACCAAAAGTATATCTACTAAACAGCTGAAAGATATATAAGAAAAGGGCTTTTCTTAAACTTGGTCTTTCAACCGTTTAGTAAGTAGCTCCCTAAATAAAATTGGTACCCTTATGTGGGGTTGCCAATATTTAAGGATACCAAAATTGGGAGCTATTTAATAGATATCTCCCTGATTTGGTACTGTTATATGGGATTCTTCTGCAGGAACAACAAATGTTTTCTTTGCTGGGGTAACCTCAAACAGCCACCAGAGACGCTTTGTGGAAGTAAAACTTTGGTATTTTAATTAGATGTGATTGTCACAGATCTAGGGTTCGATTTTAACCTGTTTGATGCTGGATAACTTTTTTTTTTTTTTTTTAAACTCTTTCTTTTATTGAGACATTGGTAATTGCTGTACAGAATGGAATGGAAATGCATTTATAAAATATAACACACGTTTTGTTCGTCTCGATTATACATAAATTCCTGCTACATCTGCCTACATCCATTTTGTATCATTGTACCGTGTACAATGTATCCAGCCTTTGGTTATTGGTCTTATAAGAACATAAAAGCATAACCGAAAACAACTGTGTAGGCTACGGGTGCCTTGGGTAGGTGTCTTTCTGCTGTTTTGGTTTGGGTCAGTAGGTTGAATGCTCAGTCCTTTCAAGTTTCTGGCACCCTGGAGGTGGCAGCTTGAGGTGTGAATGGGGCTGTGTTGGCAGGGTCCCAGGAACTGGTGGGCACTAACGTAGATGTTCTCACATTCTGGTCTCCCATGCCTAGCAATGTTAGGAAAGTGGGTATGTCTGCTCCAGATTTAAGTTTGTGAACAGTCCCGTTATATGTAGCCAGCAAAGTTCCAGGGGGACCCCATCTGTAGGCCACTCCAGCGGTTCTTAGTTGAGAGGTGACTGGAGCTAGGGATTTGCACCAAAGCAGTGTGGCTCGTTTGAGGTTAGGAAGGTGCCTTCAAAGGGCAATGACGTTTTGCCTTTTAGGGCCAGCATATTATGGGCCTTATCTTGAGAGGAGGTGCAGCGGAGTATGACGTCTCTTATCTGGTCAGGTTGTGCCTTTGGTGAGCCTGTTATGCGATATATCCCGTCGATGGACAGCTTTCTGGCAATTGGATGAGGTAGTATAGTCGCCAGAAGCCTTCGAGTGTAATGTGGCAGCTCTTTGGCCGAGATATCAAAGGGGATATCTCTGATCTTAACATGTTTACAGCACTGTCTATCTTCAAAGGTTGTCATTCTGTGTGACAGAGCCGACTGGTGAACCTGTAGCTGTGTGAAAGATGCTTTAAGTGTGGCCATATCTGAGCGAATGTTAAGAATGTCCTTTTCAGACATTTTCACTCGGCCTGTGACTGCCTGTATGTCAGCATTAATAAGCTTCAGTTCTGCGGCCCAGAGCTTGTGTATGTCTAGCAGAAGCACCTTTAAGCCATCCTTTGTTGTGGGTGCTGTTCCGTCGTTAAGCTCTGGGGGTGGCGTCTGACAGGGTTGAGAGTCGTGTGTGGCCCTTACCTCTTCGCTCCCCCTATGGCGTTCGGGTGTGTAGGCCGCGGGGTCTTTGCAGGAGGCTGTTTTGGCTGCACAGGTATCTGCAGCAAGGAGCTAATGTCTCTGCACTCCGCCACTGCATTTGGCTTCTGTGAGCGGCGTCCCATCGCTGGTATTTGGGTCGGTTGTGGATGCGAGGTGCTGTAAGTGCTCAGGATGTTTCCTGCTACAATACCCTTGAAGATTGCCTCCAAGCCCAGGATTGGCGGTGCATGGTAGGCCCCGCACTTATGCCTTAACTTTGCCTGCTTGGTCGGCTAAAAGAAAGGCATCAGCAGGTGCGGGCTGCCTCCGGGATGCAGGTTGGCCGGTTTGCAGGGCTGGATGGGCAAGGTTGGCGCTGATATATAGCCAGATTTGGGCTAGTGGTGAGGAGCTGGCCGAAATGGCGTCCGACCCGGTTGGTTGCAAGCTCAGCCCCCTGATGCTGGACACCATCAAGGTCCATGCTTTCCATTTTACTGAGGCATTACTGAGACTGCATAATAACTTTTATTACACTATAGGTTTCCCATGTTCTAGGCAGTCGTGTATAGCAATACCAAAATTAAAGGATAGATATGTTAAAGACTGCTGTAATGGTTATGACGCCAGGAGTACCCTGGTCCAGTTCCCTGGTAATAAAGCAAACCGTCTAGTAATGGTTTTCCCTCTTACCTATGCTCCAACGCTCTCTGATGGTCTGGATACACACTTACAACTTCTGCAGCACTCAGCTAATGGTAATGGCTGATGTTCTGTTCATCAAAAGTTGTAAAGAACTGACATTTGCCATCCTGGAACTCTAGTTCTGGGTTGGCTGATAACATGACACCCCAATGACGCTGCAGAAGGTGGAGTTAAGATTCAGTATGTGCAGAGTTTCATAGCTGCACATACATACTCTGATACCATGACCACTTCAAGTCACTGAAATGGACATAGTGTTTGGAGTAATCCTTTAAAAACCCAAACACAATTAACAACAAAACACAATGAAAGATTATTATAATATGATTTGGCTGCTGATTCCCACTATTAAACCCTTTACATCTGTGGGGAAATAAATAATATATAGCAATTCCACAGGAATATGAGTCCCATAAACCGTATTGTAATAGTGTTATCGTTTTATTTGCCATTTTTCTTTCTACTGTTTAGACATTTTGTTTAGATATTGCCGAAGTACCGAAAGTGCCATGATGATGTTTCATTTGCATTGTACACATTGGCTGGTTTCTGCTGTTGCGGCAGTACAAACCTGTTTGTAATTCTACGCTCTGACAAATAAAGATTGACAAAAAAAAATATTGAGAATCGGAAACTATCAAGATGTGAGAGACCAGAGTATGATTTCAACATCTTTACAGACAATTTTTACATTGGGGCTTTTACTTAGTTGGTTTGCATAACGAGCCCCAAGAACTACAGGCATTCTGGAACAGATTGGTACTGCTTACTGCTACGTAATATAAA